CTCTAATTTTTGATACTTCTTCAGCATGGATCAATTTGGCTCTTCTTAATTCGTCTTGAGCAGCTAGAATCCTTTCTCTTATTTCTTGTCTTAGTAATCTCTTATCATTGAGCAGTTCTAACTCTTGTTCAGTATGCTCTTCTTTGGCTGCTTTCAAAGCTACTAAGTTCTCAGCTCTTAAAGCAGCAGCTGCAGCTTGTTGTTCATATTTCAAATGCTTTATCTTTTGCTTTTCTGTTTCTAAAAGAGCTTCATTTTCTTCTTGTGCTTCCTCTGTGGCTCTTTCTCTGTTCCGTAATTCCGCTTTGGCTTCTTCCAATTGTTGTCTTGTTATTTCCCAGAATGTTCTTATTTTGTCTCTTTCCAGTTGGAAGTAGTTGCGTTCTTCTCTCTCTTTGTCTAGTTCTTCTTTGACCTTGAGGGTGAACTGCTCGAGTTTTTCTCGAGACATGTCTGATGTGTCCACGCCATCAATAATAATTGCTGCAAAATAATAAATAGTGTTATGTTACAAGCTAAAATATTGAATTAATTGATGAAGAAATAATAGCACAAATCGAAAATGTTAATATTGTTAGTAAACAAATAGATTTGTTAGTAACGCTTTAACACTATCAAATAAACTGGGTGTTTCATAAAAATAAATATCATTTCAGTCACACTATTAAGATAATTTATCTGGTCACTACTCTTGAGAAACGTCTTAATAATAACATAATTTATTCAAATTAATATTTTTATCCTATACAAAATTATTATGTACATACCTGGAGCCTTTTTGGCTTTTTCTTTCGCTTTTGGTGGCTGAAAAGAATATGCACACACATTTAATAAGATTTAAACATACTACAAACACTTAGAATATAATCAATCGCAATGAAAATACTTACCATGTTTTCAGTTTATTCAATTTTTATCGGTATAGCTGAAAATATAAATATTAAAAAGTTAAAAATAGTGTTTCCTTCGACTTCAGTGTTGGCGTTGTGAAGTTCAACAAGTTGGTTACCATAGAGACTGTCGATATGAAAAAGGTTTTATTTGTAATGCGCAGGCTTACCACGCTACGTAACCAGGCATCGACCACGATAGCATTTCCCCATTTCTCCTTTGATTTTCCCGAACAAATGTTATCATATTGTTATCTAACGGCTTTGCTACGTTTTGGTTACCGAGGAGAAAAACTTTTTGTTTGGTTCATAAATTGTTATTGTAGTATCATTGTACGTTTATCTGTATATCTATTTAAACGGTACCACAAGATTAAACAAACAAAAACAGATTTAAGCGTAAATTTATATTTAAATTTTGATTTGGAATAATATTTAGAAATTAGTACTTTTAAGTATGTCTAGAGACTCTCTGACCCCAGAGTCAAATCGTTGCAAAGGTTTTGCAGAGGGGCTTAGCTTATAAAGTAATTACTTTTCTGAATAAAAATAAATAAATAAATAATACAGAAAATATGCTAAGAGAAAAAAATTACTGATTAAAAGCAATAAACAGTAGTCATTCTATATAGAGACAACTTTATTGAAAAAGTTTCAATTACGTTTATTATCAACCATGCAAACTCCTCTACAACTCCAACCTTAACATAACAGAAAAGAAACAATAAAAAGCAGTCAAGTGCAAGTTTCGATTTCTCCATGAAGGGTTCTGTAGCAGCAAGTATCATAATGTAAACGATCTTGTAGTTCATTGTAACTTTAATGTTTGCTGTCTTTTTTACATTTAATTTGATCGAAGAAAATGGAAATTATGGTTTATTATGTAAAATACATATAATAAAATCGTAGGAAAGTCAAAACTGTACATTGAATATATCTTGGGGCGTGATGTACAATAGATACTGAAGGCAAAAATATGGTTTTTAGAATTTTTGTCTGTTTGTCTGTATGTTTGTTACGGATAAACTCAAAAAGTACTGCATGGATTAAATTGAAATTTTGCATGAACATAACTGACAGGTCGGTTCATCACATAGGCTACATATTATCACGCTATTACCTACGGGGGATGAGTAATGAACTTTTATATCTGTAAACCTTACTGAAGCAGCATGTAGTGTTACCTCATACACATTTAAATTACGTTTGTAAGCAGGTTGTTTGACAGGACGTGCTATCACAAACCTAGACACAAAAAAAAAGAAATATAAAATAAAACATAGACTTATATTGGTAAAATTGTTGCTTCGGAATTCATACAATATTTTGGTGATGAAGAACTAGCAATTTTTTTTGATTCATATGCGGTTATGTTTTTTTCACGTTGAAAACGTATTCAGTCGTAATTGAGAAATTATTATTGTTTACCATATAAAAATGTTTCCATTTTCCTAACTAGATGGTGTTGGCGTCGAATTAGATCGCGCTATGGTTTCGTTCACAAAAAGTGATGTTATGAGTACCGATGTCGCCGCTTCAACCTATAGAAACGGGGGTTACCTGTTAATTATTATTCTGTTTACTTCGTGATAATTTGTCTTTTAGTAGTAAAAATGCCCAGAAAGCGGTCTAATCTATCACAATCGTCATACCATTCGCGAAAAAGAAGGTTAGCTCGATCCCTTGAAACCGCTGACGAGCGTGAGGCCAGGTTGACTGCTGTTCGTGAACAAATTGCAGAGACTCGAAGAGGAGAATGTAGTACGGCGCGCCAGTCGCGATTAGATATCATGCGCACTCAAAATGCATTGTCGCGGTCTCAGGAAAGTGCAGCAGCACATGAGATGCGGCTGTCAATTGACCGAGAGCGCTACGCTAAGTCACGCGCGTCAGAGACGTTCACGCAGCGAGAGACGAGGCTGAGTTCTCAGCGCAACCGCACTGATGTCGCTCGATCTTGTGAGAGTGTTGAAGGGCGACAAGCGCGTTTGGAAAGCGATCGGGAGCGCCACGCTGAGTCTCGCGCATCCGAGACGTATACGCAGCGCGAGACGAGACTAAGTTCGCAGCGCAGTCGCACTGATGCCGCTCGATCTTGCGAGAGTGTCGAAGCGCGACAAATTCGACTGGAAAGTGATCGGGAGCGCCACGCTGATTCTCGCGCGTCTGAAACGTACACGCAACGAGAGGCAAGGTTATGTTTGCAGCGGAGCCGCGCTTCTTTTTCTCGGTCGATTGAAGACGATGAAGAACGGGAGACCCGCTTAAGAAGAGACCGCTCTCAGCATGCCCTGTTACGTTCTTTAGAGACAGATGAGCAGCGTAAAGAACGTCGTGCAGCTGCTCGGCAGCGGTACCACGAACTGCTTGGAGATGCGTCTACTCATCTATCACAAGAACGGGACAGAATTCAAGAGATTCGGGGAACTTGGTCGGACGAACAGCGTGCGGCACAAGTAGATCAAGATCGCCTGCGTCGTAACGTAAATCAGCTTTCAACATCTGATGAGGAATCCACGGTTTACGATATCGAAGAGCAACCATGGCTGAACAAAGAGGGAAGTGGATTTATGTACAATGTTGCGATTAACTACGCCGCTTACGGCAATATTGGTGCCTTAGAAGAAGTGTGTGCTCACTGCCAAGCACGCAAATGGAAAGGGAAGCCAAATGGGATGTGTTGTGCATCTGGTAAGGTCCGCTTGGACTCTATGCAGGACCCGCCTGACCTGTTAAGAGTCCTATTAAATGGCGAGCATCCAAAGACCAGCCATTTTTTGAAAAACATCCGAGCTTATAATAGCTCCTTCCAGATGACTTCGTTTGGTGCAAATCAAATCGTTGAAGCAGGATTCATGCCAACATTCAAGGTACAGGGGCAGATTTATCATCAAATCGGTTCTTTACTACCAACAGACACGCCAAAATTTTTGCAAGTTTATTTTATTAGCGATTTCGATGAACAAGCCAACGTGCGAAGCAAACACATCCCCAATTTGGACTCTGGTCTGGTCAGGGGATTGCAAAGTATGTTGCATAATGTAATCCACACATTGAGAACTTCAAAGCCGCCCTGGCGTCGGTGCCTGAGAACGAGCGCAACCGCTTTAAGTTTGTCATCAGCGCAGATAGAAGACCGATCGCAGCCCATCCCGGGCGGTATAATGCACCAACGACGAATGAGGTAGCCGTTCTCTTAGTCGATCAGGAGTGTGATAAAAGAGATATCGTTTTGCGCACGCATGATGACCGGCTTCAAAGGATCAGCGAGACACACCGTGCTTACGATTCTCTTCAATATCCTCTTATGTTCTGTCGCGGAGAGGATGGCTACCATTTTGCCCACTATAATGAAGATCCCCAGACAGGCTCCCTGAATTACAACAAAAAAACGTCCGCTATGCAGTTTTACAGCTTCTTGATCCAGCTTCGAATAAATGACGGATCTTATCTCCACCGTTACCGAACGCTCTTTAGTCAGTTTCTGGTGGATATGTACGCCAAAATTGAGACAGAGCGTTTGGTATTTATAAGGTCCAACCAAAGAAAGCTGAGAGCTGAGAACTACGTCCATCTCAGGGATGCCATGCATCACGATGCAAATGCAAGATGTAGGAAGGATGGTCATTCTACCCTCCACCTTCACAGGAGGTCCGCGGTACATGCACGAGAGGACGCAAGACGCGTTTTGTTACGTGCGAAAGTTTGGTAGCCTGGACATGCTCACTAAAAAACTACACTTAAAATGACGCAGACATAGTATTTTTGGTGCTTTACGGCGTCCGCGCGGACGAAGTCGCGGGAAACAGTTAGTGTAAAATACATATTTAATCTCGATCAAGCTCATTTTCGGTAAGTGTTTGCGTGGTATTTTTTTATATATATTAAAACAAAAATTGTTAATCACGACGGGATTAACATTTTAACAGGAGACTACGGACCGTCAGATAGATAGGCAGATATGACACACCATTGGAGTTCCGTTTTTTAACATTTGCTACGGATCCCCTAAATCACAATCTGTCACTAAACAAGTATAATTATCAAATTGTACGTGCCGTATAAAATTATGTGAATTTCAGTTTAACAAACCATAGAACAGTCTCGAACATGTTGGTCGAAGCTTGCAGTGCCGTTCTCTATGGGGCTGTGTTCCTTAGCTTAATCCTCATTGACTTCATCCTCGGCCATGGGTTCGTGGACATGTTTCAGAAAATCTTCTGTAAGATCGCTTGCTTCGTCAAGAAGACTGTTAGGGAGGAGGCGAAGAATGTGACTGCGCTGCCAGAAAATCCTATAAGTCTACCTGTGCTGTTTGTAGAAATCTTTGCTCTGAGCCTAACCATTGCTGTAAGTGTCTTTGAATGTTTGACTTGTATTACATGCTGCACGGCTTTGCTTCGCACGATTCTCCAACTATCTCGCTAAAGACGAAAGTATTCCTATTCACCAGCTCTCCCCTCTACCTTTCTAAAATATTCTTTCATAAGAACCTTCTCCAGACATTAACAAACAGCTAAAAAAGGATTGGTAATATTGGCCCAAGCGTTGTTTAGCTATGCACTTACCAATACATACTATATTGCGATTCATTTATAATATGTAAATAGATATATATTGAAGTCGTCGTTATTATTTTATGTATAGTAAGGTAATAGTAGTCAAAAACCAAAAAAATAACTATTACCTACCTTTGCTCCTATAATTACAATATCATTTTATAAGTAAGTGGTTTAATAAAAGGAATGCATTTTTTTTCAGTTTTTAAACAAGTACAAGCAATTTCGAAGCAAGGACCGTTTTGATGATCTCCTTTTGGAAAGCAAAGAAGCCTTGAGACAGACCAACGAATTCTTAGAGAAATGGAGATTACGACGGGTATGGATATTTTATTAGTAGAGTTTATAAATATATTTACGTAACGTCATCAACATTTAACAATATATATGGTTTGTTTAATTTCAGGTGCCTACTGAGTATTCGTACTTGGATGAGGAACCGCAAGAGATCAAACCACTAAAGTTAGAAGTGCCCATCCTTCACATGGCTATTATAGATGTAAGTAACGCCGATGATAAAATGGTAATGAACGATTCAAACATAGATGAAATAAGGCAAATTTTATAGGCTAAATTCTTTAAAGGTTTCAACGGTGTGTTGGTAACAAAAATATTAATTTTGAATCATACAAAAAGTACCTAAAGATTATTATTGATTAAGAAAATTTCCAGGCTATGATGAATAGTCAACACTCTGTAAGAGGAAGATCTTGCATTGAAGACTTAGTGGCAAGTATTACTGCTATACCGCTAAAAGCATTGTTTTTATAGACCTTTTGAGAATCATTTGTCTTGGAATGTTGAAGTATTCGGCTGAAGTTGTTACACTCGGATTTTTGTTTCTCCGTTAATAATAGGTAGCGTAGTAAACGATTTTTGTTCATCGATAAACGTAAACAGTTTCATTAAATCATCAAAAATTGAAATCTTGTAACGTCAAGGAAATCAAGAACATTTCCTAATCTTAGTAACAACAGCCATAAATAAGAGAAGATATTCTGAAAACACCTTTTTATCTTTACAGACTTTGGGCACAACAAGAAGTCAGCCAGAAAGAGGAGATGCAGGTGACACGGTGAACATCATGGATTCAACTCTTCTCTCAGTCACATCTCTTCTCGATGACGATCTAGATTCAATACCAGACCCACTACCTAGTGAAGAGAAAATTGTTGAAGAGACTAAAAACATCGAGTTTAGTAACCGAACGCTTTGGGATGTTATGGAAGAAGATGCTAACAGTTTGGAAGATTAAACCTTTGACTCGAAATATGTAAGACATTGTTTGATTTGTCAAACAGAAGGTTTTCTATTAAAGTGTGTTGTCCGGAATCGTTAATGATCTTGTTTTTATTTTGAATAGCTCGGTAGAAAATGTTATTGAAATATGTACTTGTTAAGCTCTAAAGAACAATTATCAGAACCCAACCTGGAATAAACCTTCTAAATTAATGCACAATTTAACGTTCATGTGCTCATCATCATGCGAATATTAATTTCTCAAGTCTTCCTAGAAGCATATTATGAATCACACTATAACTTAGTACTTTGTCTCCCTATCTTATTTGTCCCTTAATCCCTACAAAGGTCCTTCTTCATATCGCACACTTATAGTGTCAAATGCTCATAATACTGTTCAAAGAGCCTAAAAGCTGACAGATATTAATTCCAAACCTCAATACAAACTTACATTTGCATCCAAAACTACCAACCCACCAGCTTTATTCACATAAAGCTAAGGTTGAAATTGAAAAGGGTGATGTGAAAACAAGTGAATAGTTATCTTGGTCCAAGGGTGGCTATCCGCATTTGCTTTGATGTCATATTATCAGCAGGGTGTCTGCAATGATGGGATGTAATTAAAATTTGCAAATAGCAAGCTAGTTCTGACGTAATCCTAAAAGTTATTGTACTCGTAATCCTTGAATGCTTTTAACGCAGCTACCTCTGAATATTATAATTATAAAAAAGAAAAAGGTAATTGTTTTGCACAAGTTTCGCTGTCCCAGCAGTTGCAATTGTAACTACCGATCTTCTTATATTGATCCCTGGAATTTGGTACGAGAATATTTAGTTTAAAAAAATTAAAGATACTAATTATATGTAAAGGTCACTCAACAATAAGGATGTTGTTAGAGAACTGAACGTCTGCTACTTTAAGCCTCAAAACATTTTCTCTATCAAAGATAATAATCAAATAAAAAAAATATAGTTCATTGAAAGTGGGTAATGGATAATGGTCACGATTTCAAGGCATATTTTAAACACAATATCAACGGATAGAAGATTAAAATCCACGTAAAGAAGAGGTACTATAAAGAAATCTCATTACTGCAGACATACTACAGATTGTAACCCCAAAAATTCCTGTTTTAATTAACACCACAGCTAACATGTAAGCAACGCCAAGGAAATACAGAAACAATAAATAAAACGAATCCCCCCTCGCTTTTATAGGGATTATGGCGAATAGTCTTCTTACAGCATTGGGGATTGTCACAAGGATCACCGAGTTGTTTACTGGTAGGGATTATTAATGGGAGAGTAGCGAGTTACTTACTGATTCTAATTTGCTTTTGTAATGTGGGTTCGTTATTGTGTTAATTAATTCTTTAAAACATTATGCAGTTATGTGTTTGTCCTTATAAGTTGATATTTTACTTAAATTCGGTATACTTACAAGAAGTGAAGTAGTTCTGAACACGTTTTTTGACTAAAAGTAGGTAGTCTATTTGTTATTTGAGATTATAATCTACCTTTATGTCAAATTTCATTTGGATCAGATCAGATATTTGTTACGTGGTGGAGTGACAAAAATTCATCCATACTTTCAATCTTTAGCGTTTATAATTTTAAGAGTGTTTTGTATATATGTAGTGTAAAAAGATTGACAGAAATCATTATAATCATCTGTGGTCACAATGGTCACAACGAAACTAAGCAAATGTCTTTATTGAAAATATCAAGATCGTCATTTGACTACCTGCCCTACTCTACCTACCCTACTCTACCTATCCTACTCTACTTACTTTACCTACCCTAGTCTACTTACTCTACCTACCCTAGTCGACCTACCCTAGTCCACCTAACCTACACCACCTACTCCATCCTATCCTATGTTCTTCTCCCAGTTCTTAGCTATGTCCTTGCGAATTTCCAGCCAAATCGATTCAGCCGTTCTTGAGTTATAAATAGTGTACCTAACTAACACGACTTTATTTTATAATATAGACTCACGTGAAAATCTTTAATAGTTTCAAGCCGCATAGACTCTTTGACGTCTCCACAACGAGCACGCTGCTCGTTGAATAAAGTCCTGCTGTGGCTTGTAAGTCGTTATTTTCAAAAAACATATGTATATCTCATCGTAGTTTCCGTGGGTAAACAAGGACTCTGTCTTTTGGCAGTATTTCAATAACTGAAGAGAACCTAGTTACAGCAACAATAAACAATCAACCTAGATCTTTATAACCCTTTTGCTAAAAACGAAACTTACTATTAACTTCTTTCTAAACATATGTATCATGTTGGACAATTTGATAATCGTAAACCATGATCGTTTCTTTATTCAATAGGAAATCATCCAAGTATGCATGCTTATGACCGTAATTTGGTAAAACGTCAAACAATGGTCACGTGACCGAAGCTCAGTGAATTTCAACCCTTATTCTGATGTAATTATGGAGTAATCATGGTGGTATGATGGATTAGGGCACGCCTTACGGTTTTGTGGGATTTTTTAGGGTTATGCAATTGTAGAGTGATGCTATGGGAATGTTTTTTGGGGTTATTGGAAGTGATAGGACTATTGGCAATTCTTTTTTTTTCTTTTACGGCTGATTTTTCACAATCTTTAGATAAAATAGTTACCTATGAAATAATTATGATGCTGTTGCGTCAGAATGTTTGTTTAAGACAGTGGCAGCAACAATTTTATTCCTCAGATAACATTTACCAGACTATTGGAAAATCAGCCCCTAAGCAAGTAAGGGACAGAAGATTAAATATATATACATTGGAATAGAAAGTAAATGCAGTAATACCTAGACATAAAAATATGCCAAATGAAAATAATGGTTTGTTTGTTTAAAATGTAGTGTTATTGCACTTACATCATAATCAAGTTTGCATAAACTTTATTTATATAAACTTATAGCCCACACTATAGTTTGCTAGCAAAGTTCGAAGGTTTGAAGATGAATTTCAAACCTTTTTCTTTTTATTTTCTTTATCTATATCTTCTCTATTTACTTGAAACATTATTTTTCCACTATACACAACACTTTTTTTCCAACTCTTCCATTTTACATTTCCAACTTGATTGCCTTCAAATTGATTACCAATCCCCACTATCAGGTTTCCACTCCAGGAAATACCACTTCGTTCACAACACAGACAGAATTGACATCATCATTTATCATTTACCGCGGAGTAACTTCGTTGTGTGAAGTTTCGATGCCTTTTTTGTTTGTTTGTCTTTTGACTTTATAAACATTGTCTTGCATCGATTGCAGTATTTCTGATTTTTAAAATATTTTTTTTAAACCGGCTTTTGACCTAGGTTTCTCAGTTTTAAATATCGAGTTGGGCAACGCTGGCTATCGTTGGAAACTCTTTTTTGGAAACTCCTTAGTTGTTTTACATTGTGCTTGGCGTATGTAAATACATTAGTTTTCTAATTCCTGTTCTAACTGACATAAAGTTGGCATTGAGAATATTTATAGAGTTAAGCGTAGGTAGAGACTTACCCTAAGCAAAATAGCCACATAACATCTTAACATTTTCCAGTGTAAAGAGAAATTAATTAGTAAATGTCCAAGAAACTAAAACCAAAACGCAAGACGACGGTGATCAGCATCCATTTATCACTTCAAAACCTTTTTGTCCCGTTCTATTCAATACTTTTTGCGCGGAAGATTAAATTTCGCGTCTCACCCAAGGTCCAAAACCATTAATACTACTCCACCAATTTTATAAGACCTTCCCTGCTTCCTTTGGTCCGTCTAAACTAGGATGTCTTTCACGTAACTGATGCAAGTTGATGTGTCTATCTGAATTGGTTTTCGCTCGTCCCCATCTTGTCATTGAATTTTTTATTCTATTTTGTTCAACACGTCTGGTCGATGTTACACTGATTATGATTTTTGCGGCTACGTAAATTACTGAAGGGAAGAATTGATATTTGATGACACGAGGAGTTTTCTTTATATTTCGATTGTTTTTTAGAACGGGTTAAAAAAGGTAAGGTTTCCATTTGGGTTGGAATAGCGGTTTCGGCGTTTTGGGGATAAGGAATTTTGTGAGTTTAGCGACTGGGAAGGGATGGGGGAAGGATTGGCCCTCAGTACATACGTCGAGACGTAAAGCTGTGGTTTTTTACGCCGGTCCATGGTATGACTCCGTCGAGCTGACCCATTCGTGCCTAAGTAGTGTGGGTCTTCTACATTTAAAACTTTGGTGTTTTTGATAAGACTTTCATTTTTTATCAAGATAATTATAATGTGAACTATTCCTTATTGGACGGACAATATATTCACCAATAAAGAACTGTAATACCAACCACCAACACAATTATAAAAAAATAATTTGTTCATTCTTTATTAACAATTCAGTGGCTATGGATAATAGCAACTTAAAACCAAAATTGTCCGTCATTAACACCTAAACAAAGTACGGCACGTGGCCAACAAACAATGGGAATCAAAATAACTAGAATCATCGTCCTATAACCGCCTAAACATTTTACAACTACCGAACATATTTGTACTAGATCCCATCCAATCAAATTGTTCAAACCTAACCTAAGTATCAATGCACCTTATCACACCCTTAATGCATTAACTTACAATCTACATTCCAATAATCCAACAGCATTTCAAAAATTCAAATCGAATTCTAATTCAAACGGTTGAAATAATGACCGTTAATTCGACCAGTTTACTAAGAACTATCAAAAGGAACACGTTGTTGGATTTCAGAGGTCAAAAAATATTGGACTATTTTCAAATATGGCGTCGGTTTACTTCGCCACGTGCAAGTCACGTGACGAGTAAGAAAAGCAAACGCGTTGGTTTGGAATAACAACGTAAATGCCGTCATTAGCGATTTGATTATATTTTTTGTGAGTATTGTTTGAAATGATAGGATTTGTAATAGATAGGGGTATGACTGTGTACCTACATGTTTTTTTTTTGTTTGCTATGTATAGGCGAAGGAAGTGTTGACAAGTACCCAATGTGAAAAACTTTATGCATT